AAGAAGAAAGAAAAATTAAGAAACCTGTAGTAGCGAGACCAATTGAAGAAATTCGCTATGATCAAGTAGGCCATTTTCCCGATTCATGTAGTTATGGGAGATGCCGCTACTGTAAGGATGGTAAAACAAATGTTATATGTATTAAATGTAACCAAAGACTATGTTTTGTCGCCGGAAAAAGAAATTGTTTTTTAAATTTTCATAAAAAATAAACATATTAATTAATACTTAAAATCAATTTTTCATTTATTTTTCCATTATTATAATTATTTATCTTACATACATTTCAGTCTGTTCATTGCTAAGTATTTGGTAGTGTCCAGTATACTTCACATATCGTTTTCAGAAACCTGAAAGGTTCAGAATTTTATTTCTATTTTTTACTATGTCCAAGAAGTGCTAGAAATCGAATCACGTTGTTAAAACTTCAATTTTATTGTTTTGATTGTTCTGCCAATTAAAGGGTTAAATCAGAAGAAATAGCCCTAGCTAATAAGACCAAACTGGACATGTTTACTAGTAGACAGTTCAAGGTTGCAGCAACGACAGACACATTGGTAGATTAAATTGTGCAGTTTATTACAAGGCAACATAATAAAATCAGATCTAATGAAACCTAAACTAATAAAAAATAAAGTAAACTCATCTGGAAAGTCTCCCTCTTTCTAATACCTTTTAATAAGGAGTTTTGTAAACTGGTATCCCAGCCTCATACCCCCAAACTACTGGGTAGGATTTTAATGTCTGCCATCTTGTTGAGTGGCACAGATTGTTAATATGTACAACAGACAGGACACACGGAAGGAAAAGCAATCGATACTAATATTATTATATATCATCGAAGTTTACTTAATCTTTGTGAAGTAATCAATACTAGCTGTTCCCCGCGAATTTGTCCGCGTATAATAAAGCCTGGTGGCAAATTTTGAATTGTTTAATTAATGTTCTCAAAGGTAATTGCAATCCTGTGTAACAAATTAATATTATCAGAATCAATTTAGTTACATTAATTGTATTATTGTGTCATCGACGTTTACTTAGTCTTTGTGAAGTAACGTACATAAAAAAAGAATTTTCGATCATTAGTCTCTCTAAAAGTCAAGAATGGCTGAACCGATTTGGCTAATTTTGTTCCTGAAATGGAAGTCTAAGGATGGTTCAAAAGATTAGAAATAAAAATTGACGCGATCTGAAGTTTGCTGGGTCAGCTAGTATTTTTAATAAAACGTCGATATAGGAATATCCACAGGGTATGAGGAGTGTTAAGGGGCCTAAAGGGCTGGCAGATGACCCGTTCTGTCTACTATTTCATTTTGGCACCCGATGCCCCAAATATCCTGTATAGATGTTTTGTCTGCTGTAACCTCTCACAACATGCAGTAGTGTTACTAAGGATAGCGCCGTATTTTGAACTATTACTCAGTAACGTTATTTCGTTTGTGTTCTCTCGGTGGTTCTGGCTGAGGACAATTACTTTATATTGATTTATTTTAAAATCCTTGCATGCATATAAGGAAGACCTGCCTGAGCCATGAAAGTGTTTACGCAAGCGCTCTCGTCACAAAACCACGTGCTTAGTTGACTTCGTATCACATTCGCATAAAGCAATCTTTGTTAACCACTGCCACCCTAGTATGCAGGTTGTTTCATATACTGCTCCGCCTGAAACGGAAGCCTTATTTTGCCAATTGTTGTTTGTTGTCAAATAGATAGTTGTTGTGTAGAGTGATGTTTTTGTGCAACATCTAAAACAACCTAATTGTGTACTGCAGCTAGAAAGGCAAGCAGGTGGATTTTTGTAGTAACAGTTCTGCTGCTGAATTTCTTGAATTTCTACCTTTCTTTAGATTTCAGGAGAGCTTGATTGTAGGCGGACAATTGTTTTTTGCAGTGGCTTTTATACTAGACAAAAGTTTACCAATTTCACTGTTAGTCGTATTTAGGCTTCTGTTATTCATCATAAAATCAGAAGTACTGATCAGATGTAGAGGCAACATCAGTTTTGTTGTCTTGTATTCGCTTTAGCAATATTGATAGAGATTTAGAATTTGGCACTACTCGTCTGAGTGGTGGTTATGTAGGTGAGTTGTCCAAGCGTGAAGATTGTGTCGGATTATCTTCTGCAAAGTTTTAGTTTCGGTTTGGAAATGATTTTCATTAGATATACATTCATTTATGTCATAAACTGAAGTTGTCGTCGTCTGTTATATTATTTTTTTCCTTATCCGTTACTAATGACAAGAAAAACAAAATATAATAAATGTATATGCCAAAAAAGAAAAACTCTTGAAAAAAATTCAGTAAAGAGTTTTTTTTAATAGTTGGTCAATATGAAATATGGTGCGCATTACTATTAAGAATATTTGTGATATGATTGGTATAAAATACCAGTTAAACTAGCGCCACGCCGAAGAAATTGACAGTCCATCATGTTTTGGTAATGGAAGCTTTTCCGCATTGCTGTTTTCCCAGTACAGTAGAACTAGATGAACCCTGGTTCATCATACAGATTATTGGAGAATTCGACAGAAGCTATGAATAACAAGGCAAACCACGTGCTTAGTTGCCGGAACAATCACATAGTGTAATCTCTGTTAAACTCTGCCTTCCTAGTAAACTTGTTGGTTTGTATAACACTCCGCCTGAAACGGAAGCCTTATTTTGCCAACTGCGGATGAAAAACCGATGGTTTCTTACTCTAAGAATCTTACTGCATATGTACGTCGAATATGTTATTTTACACTACCATCACCACCCCGGCGCGTGTTTCACAAACGTGTATTAGTCGTGCCTGTGCTGCAAGAGCCTACTTTTAGGTAGAACAATACAAAGACATATGTAACATATTATGGAAATAAAATTTTATGACATACACAAAAAAGCAAACAGTAACTTCAGTTCGCGCATGCGCTCTGATCACAAAACCACGTGTTTATTTGACGATGTGATTATGCTTACACGTGTTACATTCACAACAAACGATTTCTGGTAAATTCTGCTATCCTAATATCCCGGATGGTTCTAGTTATGCTCGGCCTGAAACAAAAGCCTTATTTTGCCAACTGCTGCTGATAAACAGGTGGATGTAGTGATAAAAACAAACTTTATCGCCGATGGTACACGAACTAAAGAAATATTTCTTCTGTGGTAAAGTATTTAATCTCTTATTTACAAATAATTTAAACTTCAATAAAATAAATACTATTACTAAATTTACACAACATAAAAAGATAGATTACATAAATTTACACAAGATAAAAATACTAAAAATAACTATTTACACAAAGCATTTAAAATTTGTCTGCATCGGCGTCAGTGGAGAAAGTACCCAGAAACACAAATAATATTGGCTGAAATCTTTAACTCGGTAATTTGATTTATTCTCAATATGTGAGCCTTTGTAGACTAAAACTTATAAAACTTGTTTTTTGCCAAATTTGAGATTATGCCCACCACTCTTAAAACGATTCGCGATTGTCTATGATTACTGTACAAAATAAAAAAGCAACTGGTGAATTATGTTTTTGGCATATTTAACTGTTCTGAGTAGTGCCTCACAGATAAATAATTGCTCTGGTATCGACCAGAAAATGTTGAGCTTTCGATAGAGCTCAAGAAGTTAAGCTCTACTAAATTGTTCGCCTAGTACAGTAGAACTACGTGAACCAGGGATACAGATAATTTCTATATTCTGTAGCAATTTCTAGCAGCAAGGCTTATGAACAGCGCTCTCTGTCTGTTATTTTATGTTGCGATGTCTAATCGACGGATCGACTGTAAAGGCATCACTTTTTATCTGTTGTCGATTTAGTTTGTTTTTAGGATTACCGTCATGAAACCACGTTATAATATTGCTGAGAAAATAGCACTTGAGTATGTTTTTGTCCTACTGTTAGCGAATGGGACACCCATTTTACATACATCCGTCTAATATGCCTAGGTATTTTTCTTAAGTTTTTGTAGTTAATCAACGAGTTAAGTAATACAAACGTACGAAGGTACATACTAATCTCACCAATGTCTGTATGAAAAAGTGTCTACTTGGGATTGTATAAGAATATTACTTTGTACAATTGTAGTTAAAAAATCTGTCGGTACTTTGAAAATGGATTTGAATGACCACCACGAGTAATTAAATTGTTTACTTTAGTTCACGCAGGCGCTCTGGCCACAAACCACGTGCGTAGTTGACGCTGCAGTCAGGTTGCGCAATCTCCTATAAAGCTCTGCTACCCTCGTAAACGGGTTAGTTTGTATAACGGTTCGTCTGAAACAGAAGCCTTATTTTGCCAATTGTCGCTGTTAAACAGGTGAGTGTAGTGATATAAAACTCAAATTGTGTTTCTTATAATTAATTGTACATTTCTGTGTAACCCATCGGAGATTAACCCTCAATTTTGCAAGTCCAGTTAGTGTCCAATTTGCATACTAATGTGTTCATGGTCTTTTATTGATTTTTAGCTGGTCTTTTATTGTATCCGCGGACCATGGCATGAGCAATGTTTATTCACACATATTTTTATTGTTATTAATTTGATCTTTCTATTTTATGTCCCAAGAAATAAATAAAAACAGTCGTGCAAAGTAGACGTTATAGATGCAGATTTACTTAATTTTTCGGGGAATAAAAGGCGTGATATTTTACATTATTGGTCATGAATTTGATTCTTCCTATCCGCACACAACTGCGCCGCATTTTAAAACAATAACAACAACTTTATTCGCTTATGTAGCCCTAGTAGTTCTGGCTTGAGAGTCTGCATTTTTTTCAACATTTGTTTACTCAATCAATCAATCAATCAATCAATCATTTATTTATTTAAGACATCAATGGTCCACTGTGTTAGTAACAAAATCAAAAATCAAAAATACGAAACATCTTTACAAAAATATGTTAGTAAGCACATTTAAACAGACAAAACAATACAGAAAACAAATACAAATTAAATACACACACGGAAAACAGACACATGCAGTATGTTGGTACTAAAACAGACATACTAAAGCACTCTCGGTGGTATATGCACTGAAATATGCCTGTCGCAGCAATTCCTAATTATGAGACAATCATGTCTCTGCGCTATCATTGCCAGGACATTGTTGGAACTAGCCCGCACTCTGCGCACGAGAGCGCCAGCTCGCTTACGCATAGTCGCATGAAAGCCGTCAGTGCGCGCCTCCATGAACATTCCCGACGCGCTACAACGACGGGATAGCCCCAACACTGCCCTGAACGCATTATTATATTGGACGCGGAGTGCACTGTAACAAGTTTGACTATAATCAGCCCATAAGCTGCACGAGTACAGTGAAGTACAGTACGCTTTAAAAAGCGCAACTTTTACCCCCCTCGAACATTGCGCAAACCTACGGGCGAGCATATTTGCTCTAACAGACAATGCCCTACGCTCCCTTTCCATGTCAGCATGATCCCTAAGGTCCGTGGTGAGTATATGCCCCAGATATTTAAAACTGTCAACACGAGCAAGATGGATACCATTTAACTTAACCTGTGGCACACTACTCGGACATCTCGCCCCCACCGCCTCAAACACCATGTACTGACTCTTCTTAACATTGTATATTAAACCGTGGCCACCTGCATACTCCTCGCACGTCCGTATTAACCGTCTCAAACCACACACCGAAGCACTCAGTAGCACCATGTCGTCCGCGTAACTTAGGTTGTTGACACACACACCATCAATGTGGCAGCCGACATGTTGACTACTAAGCTCTGCTATCAGCCCGTTGATGTACAGGTTGAAGAGGGTTGGGGAAGTCAAACCACCCTGCCTCACTCCGCACTCGAGTCGATATGGATCCGACATTGCTCCCGCCCACCTAACACTATTGAGCTGGTGCTCATACCAATATTGAAAGATGTTAACAAATTGCTGAGGCAAATCTATGCTTTTCAGCTTGTCCCATAAAAGGTTATACCCTACAAGATCAAACGCCCTAGACAAATCGAGGAAGCATGCATACACAGGTGTTTTACGCTCGACATAGTATTTCACGGTGTGCTTTAAGCACAGTATAGCACTTTCAGTAGAAAGCCCAGGGCGAAACCCGAACTGGTTGTCATGTATTCTGATGTATTTATTTAATTGCGTGTTGAGCAAACCATCAAACACCTTTGCAATAATAGTGGCAAGAGAAATAGGCCTGTAGTTACTTTTATCAGAGAGATCACCCGTTTTATTTTTCACTACAGGCACTACCACTGTTTTCATGAAATCCGCGGGCAAATAGGAGTGGCTCACACATAGCGAGTAGAACATGGCCAAAACCCTAGAAACGTGAGGCCCAGCATACCGCAGGTGCTCAACGCTGAGCCCATCATGGCCCGGAGATTTACCTGTCGACATATTTCTTAGAGCCTTAGTCACATCTTTGGCCCGGTAAAGAGTAGCGCTAAGCGGAACCCTTAAGTTGTTCCGCTCAGCGCCACTGTCCACATCCCTCGGGTCTAACAAAGATTTCACAGTGAACTGATCTCTGAAAAGATTCGCTATCGCTACAGAATCACTTACGCCTTCGACGCTAACGGGAAGTCCAGATCGCGCATTAAATCTGCCTGTACTCTTCCAAAAACCGCGGAAATCTCCATTACTATGTTTTGCAGCAAGCGCATCCATTTTTATTTGGTCCTGGTGTTTTTGGCACCATTTTAATCGCGACTTAAATACCCTTCTGCTATCGCGCATTTCTTTGTATGAAATACCCGATTTTGGTCTACCACACATTATCCACATATTAAATTTAGCTCTAGCCTCCCCGTGAGCCTCGCCGACGCACGCGCTCCAGCCCGCCAAGCGGGAGCCACCCCCACAATTACGAGCACCCCCCCGGCCCGCCAAAGCGGCAGCATCACGAAGAGCAGTAACTATATCAGCATAAAGCTTATCCAGGACATGCCTGTGGCCACGGTCTCCACACAATTGGTCCGCACAGTTAGAACACTCAGATGGAAAGTCGATACATTTCAGTCTATTAGTGCACTCCCTAGTATATAAACATATTTGCTCATCTGTTTTCACACCCCATACAACATCTTTATTTACACTACTGACTTTAGTTGATGTTTTCGGGTTTATTAAATGTAGATGAATCTTAATTATAACAGGGAAATGGTCAGACCACCAAGTGTCATACTCGACATTAACACCAACAACAGCCTGCCTCGCCGCGCGAGTTGCAATGCAGTGATCAAGCCAGCTGCTGGTCCCATGCACATCACTAATAAATGTATAGGTACCTGAGTCAAGCCCCAACATATCTACATCTATACAAAACCAGGATTGGTCTTCACAGATACTAACAAGCTCACTGTAAAACAACTCACCTGGGTTGGCGTTGAAGTCGCCCAACACAAACACAGATTCAACACCATACTCGTCCACAATAGCGCTTACCGCGCTTAAACAGTCCGTAAAATCCTGTAAGTTATCACTAGTGTTTGTTGGTAAATACACACTCATCACTATGACAGGTCTATCACCAGTAATAATTTTAATGGCACAAATACGAGGATTATTACACTGTATCACGGTCACCTGCCGAAATAAACTTTGTCTCCATAACAACGCCGTACCACCGTGAGGACGGCCACGAAGTATACCAGCAGAGGTATCCACCGCCGACGTTGCCGTGTACCCAAAGCCGCTATCGATTGTGCCGATATAGGGTACATCGTGCGGCATCAACCAGGTCTCTTGAAGACATACCACGTCGCACGAACGACACAGATTCCTGACGTCATCACAGGAGCGCTTTACATTTTTACAATTAAAAGTTGCAAAACGATATAGGCCACTATCCATTGTTGTATTTGTTTAAGCCGCCAGCGCCGATGAGATACTCACTATTCATCTTTCTATGTTTGAAATTTAATTACTAACAAGACCACGTGGCGTTTAATTTTACGAGTAAGTCATTAATAAACATGGATTGGAGGGAGATATAACGAAACTTTGTAAATGAATTTGCTAATTCGACAATTCTTCCATATTATGAAATTTAAAGAAAGGTTAAAACCGGTCGAGTTGACTCGTCGAGCATCGTCAATATAGACACAATTAAAGAACAATAGGTTGCGGTCACCGGTGACCGCTTGGTGTTTGACAGTTTAAGTGTTAATTGCGTCTTTTAAAAGGACTATAAACTCGTGTTATTTTTGCTTCTAAATTTTGTGTTTTATGATAATACAGTTATTCCGGTAATATTTATAAACATCATGTGGTTCTAGTGACCCAACAAAACCCTACTGGATTATTCTAACATGACAGATGTGTTAAATGCTTTTGGTAAAAATAACCCCTTGAAATTAATGTCCTTTATAGGAAAAATATTTAATTATATTTTCGTGTTGTGAATTTTAACACTCTTGTTCGATGGGGCAAGCAAGACGTAATATAAAATAAATTAAAACTAGCGGACCCATCAGACGTTGTCCTTCATATCCACTTAAATGTATAAACAAAAAATCATTATTTAACCTTAACATCGACTGCCGCGCCATCTGCCGGGCTAATTTGTGAATCTAAACCATTCCCAGATACCCTTGAACACACACAAAAAATTTCATCAAAATCGGTCCAGTCGTTTGAGAGAAGTTCAGTGACATACATACTCACAGAAGAATTATATATATAAAGATAGCCATTTATCATGAACCTAACATATACTTCTTTAGCTTTCATTACTGATTAGATAAGAGCAACAGTTAACAGAGATCTAAATTTAGCGTTTTTCCAGTAAATAACGAAGAAAATTTGAAAAAAAAGGCTTGAAAATCTACAAAAAGCTGTATTCACACATTGTTATTCATTGTTTAAATAAAAAAAAAATAAAAAGGAGGGTCAAATTGGCTATTTCTGTGGTGTGTATGATTCACCAGTAAGGTAAATCACAAGTTTCTTGATTTTGACGTCCTTCGATACTTTCCGTGGATTTGTCATACGACATTCCATCAGTTTCCAGAGTAGCCACGGACCCTCCGAGAGAAGGTGATGAAATTTGCTATCGTCTCGAAGTCGCAGGAAAACTTCGCATGCGCGATGCAGGTTTTTGTGTTTTTCCAGCGTTATAGAAAGTGTTTGACAAAAAGTGAAATGATATAATGATTAAATAGTCACCGTAGAACCGATAGACAAGCTATTGTAAAAGACACCACTGCCGAAACAAACCTCTCGAAAAATACTGTTCAACAATTGCTCACCTATGAGCAAGGAAAAGAACCATATTCATATGCCAAAGCTACTAGAAACGAACCAAACAAAGCTACCACAGAACATACCACACCAAATGTAAGCCAAAATATAGCGGTATTAGAAAGTATCCTCAACAAACAAAATGAAAAATTTGACCTTATCCTACAACAAATGAGTACTCTAATGAGCCTCATAACTACGCTCATAACCAAACTACAAGGTTAACAGGCCTCGGGTTAAGACTGGCGACATGGAACATAAATGGACTCTCACCCAACAAAGATGAACTCGAGATACTGATGGCTGAGCACAAACTGGACATAGTCTTGATATCTGAGGCTCACTGCACAGACAAATCTAATGTCAAAATCAAAGGGTTCTTGACTTACACTACAAACCATCCCGATGGTACAGGTCATGCGGGATCAGCTATAATTATTCGCAATAGTATTAAACACCATCTATTACCTGAATATAGAACGGAGCAAATACAGGCTACTACAGTTGGAATACAAGACAGATGTGGATATTTCAATGTCTCAGCTGTTTATTGCCCTCCAAAACATCGAATAAACTCTAACCTGTTCTCCCACTACTTCTCAAGTCTAGGCAATCGCTTCATTGCAGGAGGCGATTGGAACTCCAAACATATACATTGGGGTTCAAGACTGACAACAACCAGGGGAAGACAACTAAAGTTGAGCGCTGACATAAATCTTCTAAGCACGATTGCTCCATCAGAACCTACAAACTGGCCAGCCGATCACAATCGAATCCCGGACGTGCTCGACTTTTTCGTAACAAAGGGACTGTCCAAACAGTACTTAAAGATAGACTCGTGTAATGATGGGTCATCCGATCACACCCCAGTTCTGTTAACTATCAGTTCAACTGTAATTGAAGTCGACAGACCCGTAACATTATATAACCAGCATACAGATTGGTCCTCCTTTAGGGAATACATTGAAAATAATCTTAATCTGAACATCCGACTAAAAGAGGCAGAGGAAATTGAAACAGCAGTGATGCAATTCACTAACCTCATACAAGTCGCGGCCTGGAAAACCACGCCTAGTACTGGACATAAAAATCAGTCCACTAACGTACCACTAGAAATAAAGGCCATGATCCAGGATAAACGCAGATTACGAAGAGTTTGGCAGCTAAGTCGGCACCCTCAAGATAAGACAGCCCTTAATAAAGCTAGTGTACAATTGAGAGAAGCTTTAAAAAACATCAATGACCTAACTATGCAAGCAAGGCTAGAGTCTCTAACTGCTACTAAAGCTACTAACTACTCTCTATGGAAAATTACCCGTTCCTGTGACAGACCTAACTTACCAAAATCCCCGCTAAGACAGGACAACAACTGGGCCAGAACAAATCAAGAAAAAGCGGACTTGTTCGCGAATCACCTAATAAGCGTCTTCAAACCAAATGATACCCAAGACCACTCAACAGAAGAATATGTTGATCTCATTCTTAAACAAGACCTTCAAATGGATCTCCCACCGAGACCCGTGTCGCCCGCAGAAGTCATAAAAACTATCAATCGACTAGATAGCAAAAAGTCACCTGGTTACGATCTAATAACAAAGGAAGTATTACTGCAACTACCGAGAAAAGCTTTTGTACTCATCACCACCATCTTCAACGCTATGTTACGTATAGGGTACTTCCCGAATGCGTGGAAAGTCTCGCAAATAATCATGGTCTACAAGGCTGGCAAATTAATTACCGAAAAAACATCTTATCGCCCAATCAGTCTGCTACCTACTCTATCTAAGGTAGCGGAGAAGACAATACTTCGAAGAATAATGCCAAGTCTCCTAGAACGCAAGGTGATACCTGACCATCAATTTGGCTTCAGAGAACGTCATGGTACAGTAGAACAAATCCACAGAGTATATGATGCCATAAGAAGATCCTTAGAACAGAAAGAATACTGCTCATCAGTGTTCTTAGATATCCAGCAGGCATTTGATAAGGTGTGGCACAAAGGATTGCTATGTAAGATAAAAGATAATATTTCTCACTCATACTTTCCAATATTTAAATCATATCTCGAGGACCGCATATTCCATGTAAAAGTGGGAGATGCCTATTCGAATTTCCATAAAATTGAAGCCGGGGTGCCACAGGGATCAGTTCTCGGACCTCTACTCTACACACTTTACACAGCTGACTTACCATTAACGCCAGGGGTAACTACAGCCACATTTGCAGATGACACCGCTATGTTAGCGAGCGCTAAAAATCCAAAAGTGGCATCTGAAAAACTGCAGATTGGTCTTAATAAAGTAGATGAGTGGCTGCAAAAGTGGAAAATAAAGGCTAGTGCTACAAAGTCAGTGCAAGTAACATTTTCTCTTAGAAAAGGAAACTGCCCACCTGTAAAATTGGGCCACTGCACTCTACCTCACAGTGATCATGTAAAATATCTTGGCCTACACATTGATCGTAAATTAACCTGGAAGCAACACATCCAATGTAAAAAGCAGGAGCTCCAGTTAAAGTACAATAGTCTTTACTGGATGCTGGGAAGGAATTCAAGGCTCTCCCTAGACAACAAACTACTAATCTACAAAGTAATCTTGAAACCCATTTGGACGTATGGCCTGCAACTATGGGGCAGCGCAAGCGATTCTAATATAGAAATTCTCCAACGCCAACAGAACAAAATCTTGAGAACCATCGCGGAAGTACCATGGTACATAACCAACAATGAATTACACAATCACCTTGAAATGAGAACAATCAAGGAAGAAATTAGGAGCCTTGCAGCTAAATACAAAGAACGGTTAACCCGACATGCTAACGAACTCGCTCGCCAACTCTCCATGAACCAGTATGTGAAACGTTTAAAACGACACCACATCCTAGAACTCGAAGACAGACAGTAGGTCTAGGCAGCAGATGAGTAGAGCTTCCAATGGGAAGTCACTCCGCATGACAGATCGCACAGAAGATTTGCTCATAGCCTTGGGGCTGATTGCAAATGTATTTGAAAAAAAAAAAAAAAAAAAAAAAAAATAGTCATCGAAGAATCATTTTACTGGTCTAACATGGCAATAATTGTCAAGACTAGTGTTTAAATTCAATTTTTAAATTTCAATTTTACTTTATGGGAATTCACATAAGAGCGACAAGGAGAAAAATACAGCAAGGGTTGGCCAGCCATTTATAGAACCAAAAGGGTGACCAGTTTCAAAGCGCTGGGTCCTCAAAAAATTAATAAACACAGAAAATAAATCTGTTTCACGTATTTTATTAAATTAAAATCAAGAGAAATAGCCCTAACTAATGAGACCAAAATGGACATGTTTACTAATAAACAGTTTAAGGTTGCATGAACGACATACACATTCGTAGATTTAATTGTGCAGTTTATTACAAGTTAACCCAATAAAATCAGATTTAATGAAACCTCAACTTATAAAAAATAAAGTAAACTTAATAAAACAAATTCATCTGGAAAGTCCCCACTTTCTATAGGCACGTACCTTTTATTGAGGAGTTTCGTAAATTGGTATCCCAGCCTCATACCCCTAAAGTACTCGGTAGGATTTCAATGGCGGCCATCTTGTTGAGTGGCACAAATTGTTAATATA